GGAGATATGGTAAGTCATCATTGCGGCAGATTTGAATGTGACACAAGTTCAGGCATTCATTTCCATGTTGAAGAGGTTCAAGTGGGCTATTGGGTGGACTATTGCGAACATTATTGGGGTCCTTCCACGCATTTGTTCTCATAAAATCCAACTCATACCGGATCATTTGCGTAGTATTGAGCACCAGAGAAGACTAAATCCGTCTATGCAAGAGGTAGTGAAGAAGGAAATAATCAAGTGATTGGATGCTGGAGTTATTTATCCCATTGCAGATAGTAGTTCGGTTTGTCCCTTTCAGTGTGTGCCCAAGAAAGGTGGGATGACTGTGGTCTTGAATGAGAAAAACGAGCTCGTTCCAGTGCAGCCCGTGACTGGATGGAGATTCTGCATGGACTACTGGAAATAAAATGCTTGGACAGAAAAGGACCACTTCATTATGTCGTTCATGGATCAAATGTTGGACCGACTTGCGGGTAAGGGTTGGTATTGTTTTCTTGATGGTTATTCGGGTTACAATCAGATTTCTATAGCTCCAGAAGACCAAGAGAAGACCACCTTCACTTTCCCTTATGGGACTTTCGCTTTCAAACGAATGTCATTTGGGTAGTGTAATGCTCCAACGACCTTCCAACGTTGTATGATGTCAATATTTTCTGATATGGTGGAGGACACTATTGAGGTATTTATGGATGATTTCTTCGTAGTAGGTGACTCTTTTGATCGTTGTTTAGCCCATTTGGCTGAAGTACTAAAACGATGTGAAGAGTGCAATCTTGTGCTCAATTGGGAAAAGTGTCACTTCATGGTAAAAAAAGGGATAGTTCTGGGCCATTAGATTTCTGAGAAGGGTATCGAGGTTGATAGAGCAAAAGTCGAGGTAATAGAAAAGCTTCCACCACCTATCTCTATTAAAGGTGTTGGAAGTTTTCTTGGGCATGCATGTTTCTATAGGAGGTTCATCAAGGATTTCTCTAAAAATTACACATCCATTGTGCAAATTGCTCGAAAAGGAGTGTATGTTTGAGTTTGATGATACTTGTCTGAGAGCATTAGGGGAGTTGAAGGAAAAGCTAGTTTCCGCACCTATCATTATTTCACCGAATTGGGGGCAACCGTTTGAGGTAATGTGTGATGCTAGTGGAGTGGCGCTTGGTGTGGTATTGGGACAGAGACGAGAAAAGATTCTTCATCTTATTTACTATGCCAATAAAGCTCTAAATGTGGCTCAAAAGAACTATACAGTGACTGAACAAGAGCTTCTGGCGGTGGTTTTCACATTCGAGAAATTTTGATCCTACTTGCTTGGTACTAAGGTCATAGTGCATACTGACCATTCTGCATTGATGTATTTGATGGCTAAGAAGGATGCAAAACCGAGGTTGATTAGATGGGTGTTGTTGCTGCAAGAGTTTGACTTTGTGGTGAAAGATAGAAAGGGGACAGAAAATCAGGTTGCCGATCACTTGTCTAGATTGGAGGAAGAAGCTATGCTCAAGCTAGGTGATAGGGCTAAAATTAATGATGTTTTTCCAGATGAACAGGTATTGACTGCTTCTCATGATCTGATTCCTTGGTTCGCAGACATTGCTAACTACTTGGCAAGTGATCTGGTGCCATCAAATTTTTCTTTTCACCAAAGGAAAAAGTTTATGCATGATGTGAAGAAGTTTTTTTGGGATGAGCCTTGTTTATACCTTAGTTGTGCTGATGGGATTATTCATCGTTGTTTGCCCGAGGTTGAGATGTTGAGTATACTAGAGGCATGTCACTCATCGTCTGTTGGTGGGCATCATAGTGGTATTCAAAATGCGCATAAAATTTTGCAGTGTGGGTATTACTGGCCTACCATACACCAAGATGCTTATGATTTCGCTAAGTCTTGTGACCGTTGCCAAAGAGAAGGAGGAATTTCAAAGAGGCAAGAGCTTCCTATGAATCCAAAATTGGTGATAGAGTTATTTGATGTATGGGGCATTGATTTTATGGGTCCATTTGTGAATTCACATGGGACGAAGTATGTTCTTGTTGCGGTTGATTATGTGTCGAAGTGGGAGGAAGCAATTGCGCTTTCAAACAATGAAGGTAAAAGTGTCAGCGCATTCCTGAAAAAAGAATATCTTCTCCAAATTTGGTACACCTAGGGCAATTCAGCGATGGAGGTTCCCACTTTTGTAATAAGTTGTTCAAGGCGCTCCTTGAGAAATATGGCGTCCGCCACAATGTGACCACTCGTTACCATCCGCAGTCTAGTGACCACTCAAAAGAGAGTTGATTGACCTTACAGTGATCTTGAATGATATGGAGGTTGAAATTGCGCAACTTAAGGCTCAGTTGCAGAGAGCTATCTCCAAGGGACCTGGTACCAGTGTTGTGGATGAGAAAGAGGTTGAGAAGTTGACAGATGAAAATGAGCAGCTGCCGAAGACAAATGCCTCACTCAGTGAGGAAGTCAAGGCTCTCAACAAGCAAATCATTCAAGCTCATGTTGATGCAAATGAGTGGATGTCTTTGCTGATGAGAACTCTTACTCCCTCTCCCCCCTCCCCCCCGTCCTAAATGTGTCTAGTCTCTTGTTTTTCCTTTCCTCCTATCTAACTCTAAGTGGCAAATGTATTTTTTTGGCTGACTACTGTGGTCAGCTCTGTGATCTAATGACATTGTTTGTGCCTTGTCTTGTTTGCTTTTATTTTCTCTATTACTGCTTACTTGTGTATGTACTGTGTGGCCCATTGCCCTGAATTCCTAACGTTTTGCATGCAGTCTGTGTATGTTTACTGCTACTCTTTTTCAATGATGTCAAAATGGGGAATATATTGGATAACTGTTATGAAATTAGAGTCTAGTAGAAGATGGGGTTACTGATAGGGGGATCTGGAATTGGCTATATGTTTTGTGTTTAGTACAACTGGGAGGGATATTATTGATAGGGGGATTAATGTTTTTGATTGCATGAATGTTTAACTCATGTGAGGCGCTTTCACGATTGTTTGTCATCATCAAAAAGGGGGAAAATGATAAGTCTTAATGCTCCCAGATGTTTTGATAATCTCCTCACAAATGCAGGGACCCAGTCCTCTGCAGAGTATGTTCGTCCAGGTCCATATGCTATATAGTTGGAAAGTTGTCCGCATCAGAAGTTGGTGAGGTCATCAGTGTACTACATCAATCAGAAGGGGCGAGGTTGTTTGTCCGATGTGTATTAACTCTTGATGTTTGATATATTCAATATGACAAACAACAAATTATTCATTCATGCAAAGAGAGATATTCAAGCTTCAAAAAACAGCAAGGGACCTCATAGATTACCTAATTGCTTCCTGAACCAGCTGTTACTTTGATTGCTTGTATTTGTGCTTATATTGTAGGAATCGTTTTGCTTGTGATAGAAACTTTTCAATCTTGGGTGAATCATTGTAAGAACTTAGTTGAGGGTAACTTCGTGTCCACTACTAGAAAAGTGTGAATTACATAGGGATATTATCTGGGGAAAATTGTCGCAGATAATACTTGCAAATTTTCTTGCGAAATTCCTCAATATTAGAATATATTACCTGTGAAAATTATATTCCCAACAAATTTCGCAGCGAACGTTGGTATCATTTTGCACTAAATTAGTTCCTACAAAATTACCTAGGGAAATATATCCGCAGGAACAATATCTTTAGCTAAATTTCTAGGTACATGGACCAAAAAAATTTAAAAAAATTCTTTTTAATCTGTAGGAAAATTCCAAATTGTCTAAAAAATTATTTTTGGGATTTACCTAGACATTTTATTACCTTGGGAAATAATTGGGGATTTAGGAATTATTAGACCAATTATCTTTTAGATGATTGGATTCTTTTACACTTACAATTTTTTTGGATAATAGACCAATTAAAAACTCAATTAGGAATTGAAAAGTGATTGTAAGACCCACTAAGACTCATTTTCCTCTCTCTAACTCACTTTACACAAACCCACTAAAGCTTCTCTCCAAAACTCACATGGAGATACAATGGTGGAAACGATCTGAATCGGTGTAGCCCCAAGCTCCAAGCTCCAAGCTCCAAGCTCATCCAAAGCTCATCTCAAAACTCTTCTAGCAGACCTCATGCTTTTCTCCAAGTGAATTTTTCCGAAATAAAGGACTACATATCGGAAGATTTGCTTGTCAATCTACCCAAAAATTGAGGTTAATCTACAAATTTCAAGCTCTGTGAGGTTAATCTGTAAATTTTTGTTTACTGTTTTAGTTTGGATGAAAATCGAGTAAATTTTTTTGCAAATCAAAGCTCTTGCTTAAATACTTGGAGAAGATGAGTGCATGCCATTATTATGTTTCTTTTCTATAGCTTATTGAATTTTAATATCCTGCAAATGATGTTTGTTCTAGAATCTCTTCAATTTGTTCTCATCTTCAAAAATTTTTTAGTTGATGTGAGTTTATGTTTTACAATTAGAGACGCCCTAATGCATGAAGTGATTTTGTTTGACAATTAGAGATGTTGTCAACGCCTGCTACTACTGGCTGTCTATTACGAAAAACCTTAATATTTTGCAATTTTACAGTATTGTAATGTATAGTTTGGCACCATCAGCTAGTAGCAATAGAAAATTTTCAAGGCATTTGTCTTGATCCGTTCACCTGAAAGCAAGAAGAAAGTATCATGACATCACGTGAAAATTGAAATTAGTATGAAATTATTGATTAACAAAAAAACCTGATTTCCTCTTTTATGATGTCATTTTGTGTCTAGTTATACCTCTTTCGGATGCTATTTATTACTGACAAAAAATTAAGTGTTTATTTTCTCTAATGGAATTTAGTTTTCTGCAGCTGATGATCTTCCAACAAGTATTGGCTTTCTAGGTCTTGGAATTATGGGCAACCCAATGGCACAAAATCTCATAAAAGCAGGGTATGTTCCCATTATTACTTTGATACACTAATTTGATGGGTTTCAATGAGCCTTTGCTTTGTGAACTTTATAAATCACTGGACAGCGCTGTGATGTGACGTTTGGAATAGGACCAAGAGCAAATGTGAACCCCTTATCTCCTTGGGTGCAAAGTAAGTATATGCCAATTTTGGTTATGCTGCAGACTTAAGTTTGTTTGTGTTGGCCTCCAGGAAATGTGTGTTTAAACTTAGATTACCCAACAATGAAGTAGTCAATGGTAATCTATGCTAATCCTTAACAATTGAAAAAAGAAAGATCTATGCCTATGCTTGTATCGCCTTGTATGAGATCACTTAAAAAATTTCTTGACTGTTGTTACTGCTTGTACTTGAGGATAATTTGCATTTCATGGTAACTTGTGGTTCTTTGGATAATTTGCATTTCAAGGTAACTTAAGGTTCTCTTCTGCAGATACAAATTATCCCCTGAGGAGGTTGCAGCATCTTGTGATGTCATATTTGCCATGCTTGCAGACCCCGAGAGTGCAGTGAGTTTTGAGTTTATTTAAGTGTGATTCCTTGCCTTTCTATATATTTGATATGTCTAGTTAACGTCTAGAAAGTATTACCTTATTTTTCTAGGCGAATGTTGCTTGTGGAAAATATGGAGCTGCAAAAGGAATGGGTCCAGGAAAAGGGTATGTTTTATTTTCTCTCCTCTGAAAATTTAAAGGTTTGGACTTTACAATTGTTTTTTAAGCACTGAGTGACAGTTAAAGAACTCTAGTTAGTTTACTGTTAGTTATGTGATTGAGTTTGAAAGTGATTCTAGTCAAGAAGTGCAGCAAATGCATTGTTGGTTTTGTTAATTCGAAAATGAATTTTCTTCCTGCTGCTTATTATCTTAGATGACTGTCTTAGTTATATCTGGAACTGTGAAGTAATATGTATCGATGTATTGTACTAGATGAGGTACATTCACGACAGTGAGAGATCATATATATTATCTAAACAAAAATGAAATGCGAGCTTATTTCATCCGTTAAAGAATCTCCCAGAATAACGTTACCATTTGCAACACTCTAACAATTCTCAAGTGTCTAATGCAGGTGGTGTGAGCTTGTATAACTAATGCAATTTTTATTTGCTATATACATAAGAAATTCAAATGGCTCCCTCACTATACTTATGCTATAAGACGTAATTTTGAGAAAATGGCATCTGCAAGGATGACACAAATTTTTCAAGATGTTAGGAAAACTTGCCTCTGAAATCAATGAAATCACACAAAGTGAGACGTCGCTAAGGTTGTTCTTGGAATCTGTGTGGTGTATCAAGTTTATTCATTCATAATTCTGGTCAGGTTTGAACGTATACAACGCATCATCTTCAAATGGGCAATCAAGCTTATGATGAGGATGAAAGTGGTGATGACTTTGATAGCGTGAATGACAGTGGTTCTGCCCATGACTCTAATAGCGTGAATGAAAGTGAGGATTGAGATAGTTGATAGTACTATTTAGGATTCAAATTTGAGTTGTATTTTGTTTTTGTCCGTTTAAGAATCATAAAATACTGATCTTGCAGGTTTCTTTTCATAGAAATTATAATTATGAATTATATTTTTTGTTGAATGAAATTGATATTTTTTGTTAGTTCTTGCGGGTTTCTTTTCATAGGAATTATCTTGAGCAATTTTTTCATATATATATATGCAGGAAATTTCCTTTTGTTTCACAAAATTTTATCTCCAAACGCCTACGGATTTACTTGGGAATCTTCATAGGGAATTGCTTGTGAAATATATCTATGAAAATGTCACGCCCCGAGACTACACCCTAGACGTGGCCGGCACTCGAAGACCATTGCTGGTCCCCAAGCGAACCCTCATCCTGGCTGACTCCAAGCGGAATACTAACTTAAGCATACAAGAGCTTAAAACTGAAAAAAAAGTTTATAAACTCAACTTTACAAATCTTTAACTCAAAAGAAAACTCTGATAATATAATATATATACAACTCGCCATAAAAGGAAACTTTAGTCTTCAAAACATTTAACAAAATAAATGAAGAGACTTTTGAAACTCTATTGTCTATCTATGAAGCCTCTAACTGATAAAGATGGAAGCCGGGACAAGACCCACGACCTCCTAACAACTGATACAACTGAAAGGTAAATGAAATCCTCCGGAAGCAAAGAGGCTTGTCATAGCTAACTGGAACTCCCGGATGTATCAACGAATCTCCTGTTGATGATCTTGAATACCTGTGTCTGCATCATAAAAAGATGCAGGCCAAATGGCTCAGTACGTGGAATGTACGAGTATGTAAGCTGGAAATCTAAACAACATAGGCTAGAAGAAACACTGGAATAAACTGAATAACTTACCTCTTTTTCAAACTTTCTCAACTCAAGGAATACTCAAAACTACTCAAACTTACTCAACTCAAAAGATAGATACTGGACTCAAAGACAGATACTCAACTCAAGATATATACTTAACTCAAGGATACTCGACTCTTGAATAACTGAACTCAACCTGACTGACTTCTTTCAATATAAGGTAATTTAAAACAAGTGCGATATAAAGAAAGACTGTTTAAAACATGCTATAAACTCTGTGTGTATACAAGGATACAATAAGCCTGAGATGTATATAGAAATACAAATGAACTGATGTATATAAAATACAATAATTTTTGTGTATAAAAATACAATAACTGTTGTGGGAGTTTCTCTAACCGACAACCATCACATAAGAGCTATAGTGATGATACAGCGATCGACCTCACGCTGCCAGAGCATCTTATACCCGGCCAAAGGTATAAGACCTGAACTGCCTAATGGATCCACTAGTCTAATCTGAAAAGGATTCATCTAAAAAGTATGATCATTTTCTACCCATGGTGGCTAACATGGTTCTATGGGGGCTGTGGGTTCTTTGAACGCTCCCCCAATTCGGTGCTCAATACTACTCCCAAAAATGTACTGGCTCTTATATTTTTAAAACATATGTTTTCCTGCTGATATGAGATAATTACTCAAAAACTAGCCCGAAGGCTCTTTTGGAAATCTTAGTTTTCAACCTTGTTTAAATGTAAAAACATTTCTTTAAAACTTCTTTGGGAATACATAGTTCCCTAATAACTTTGAGAAAATGAACTCAACTCTTTACTATTTACTTTACTTGAACTCTTGGCTTGATGTGAAATTCTTAACTTAACATGAAACTCTTAACTTTTGACTTGACTTGAAACTCAATACTTTTCACTCGACTTGAAACTCTATACTTAACTTGGAACTCTATACTAACTTGGAACTTAAGCCTTAGAATGAAGTTAAAACGTTCAATGAAGACTCGTGAAAAGTTTGAAGACTTGCTTTGACTTACTTAACTTCTCTAAGCTTAACTTCTAACTTCACTTGACTTGGAAACTAACTTCACTTGACTTGGAAACTAACTTCACTTGAATTGGAAACTAACTTCACTTGAATTGGAAACTAACTTCACTTGAATTGGAAACTAACTTCACTTGAATTGGAATCTAACTTCACTTGAATTAGAAACTAACTTCACTTGAATTGGAATCTAACTTCACTTGAATTGGAAACTAACTTCACTTGAATTTGAAATTTGGATTGATCACATGTTACGGATGAGTTCTTGACTTTTAGAAGTACCTTGGAGTGTTGGAAACAACTAGGAAACATAGGTATAATACCTAGGAACATGTATGAAAAAAATGGTAAATGAAAGGGAAGGATTGGTGTCCTTGGCACTAGGAGAGGTGCGACAGCCCAGCCCCTTTTTCCCCAAAAATCCTTATTTTTCCCCTTGTTTCTTTCCAATTCTAAACCCTCTCAACCTCAAGGTTTCAGCAGCAATACTTAGAATCATAAAGACCCTTATTATACAATAGATTCAACTCAAAAATCACAGCCAGAAATCTGTACTAAATCAGCAAGAACTTCAACACAACACCACTACAACTTCAACAACCAATAAATCTTCTCTTGGAATTGAAAACGAGTTGGTGTGTGGGGGTATGAACCAACCAACACTAAGGATCATCAATCTCTCAACATACAATAGATCACAACTCAAATACACAGCCCAATCCTGTCCCACAACCAACAATAACTTCAACAACACAACTAACAACATCAACAACAACTAACAACTTCAACAACTTCAACAACAAATCCAATCTCTTCTCAAATCATAAAAACGAGCTTGGTATGTGGGGGGGAAGGATAAACCCACACTAAAGACTCACATACCTGATTAGGGATCACCCCCGACGAAAATCCACGACGATCCTTAGCTTCTTCTTCTCTTTCTCCTCTTCTTTTCCTCTTCTTTCTCTCTTATCTTCCAAGCCCTAACTCTCACTCTTACTCTCACTCTTTAAAATGGGACAAAAATGATCCAAACATCAGTCTAACACCTCAATATAACCCAAAGAAATTATTAGGGAAAAGACCAAAATACCCTTAAAATTTTCGGACTAAACAAACTGCACTGTGCGACTGTGCGACTGTGCGACTGTGCGACTGTGCCGACAGCCCAACTTCCAAAGGGCATAACTCACTCATACGAACTCAGAATCAAGCAAACTCGGCGGCGTTGGAAAGATCATTCCAAGGGCTTTCCAGAAATAACTGGAAATTCGCCTAAATCATTCTGAGCTAGGAGTTACGACTGCTCAAAGTTGACCAAAAACTCACTTTTTTTCCATAGCCAAATTTTCCAGATTCTTTCCAAAATGACTATTTCCAATTCAACTCTTCTTGGAACTCAATGTGCTACATCTAGGGATCTTAACTTAACACTCAAGAAATTTTATTCCTCGGTAAAATCTCACTCCACATAAAGGACGGCTCGAGTCTTAGTTCGAAAATTCTCTAGGGTGTTACAGAAAATCCCCAAGAAATTTCATTTTTATAAGAAATTTTGGTAAAAAATTCGCAAGAATTTTCGTTATGTATTGCAGATAAATCCACAGGTAAAACATGCGAATTTTAATTCCCCAGGTAAATTACCTAGGGCTTGTATAAATCCGCAGGTAAGAGTTATCTACGAAGGTTTTTCCATCAGATTTCAGTTTGCGATAACATTCGCAAGTAATCAAGTTACCTGCGGATTTTACTATGTTATCCCTAGGAAAATCCCCAGGTAATCAGTACTTTTCTTATAGTGGTCTTACGTCAAAGTCTATATTAATCAGTTGGGCTAGTATAGTGGGCAATGCAGACATTGCTTTGGCTCTTTGAGTGATAGTGTATTACTCAGAATAGAGATTAGGAGGTTAATCTCGTGTGTGTTGTAAACTGGGTTTTACTTTGGCTTGTGAAGTTTAGTAAAAGCAGTTTGAAAATCCTGTGAGACATATCGTGGTTTTACTCCCTTGAGCAAAGAGGTTTCCACGTAAAGTTGTGTGTGTTATCTTTACCTTCAATATTTACTTTTTGTTCATCGTAATTGTGTTAAGGACCTGGTCCCATCATAATTAGTGGACGCATACATTCCAACATCCGTTAATATAAAATCCTTCCGTTTTAAGGAAAAGAATCTTTTAGAAAGAAAAAAAAGAAAAGGAATCACACTTGAAATTATGTTTTGAGATCTTATATAACTCAATTATCCTACTTGAGACTTGTTGTCACAGTTAGAATCATGAGATCTGAGGGACTTGG